AGCCCTGCTGCTTCTGCTCGCCGCCCTCGGGGCCTGCCGCCTCGCCCGTGCCGGTGAGTGCATCTCCGTGTCTGTGTGTCCCCCCGCGCCCCACCCGGGCTCAGCATCCGTGGGTGCTCAGGCGTGGGAGGGGGCAGCGGGTCCTTCCCCGCACCGTGGTTCCCGTGGACACCCCTCACCCCACCGGGAAAGCTGCCGTGGGTTAGGGGCCTCTCAGCATCCTTCCCCTGCATCCCCACGGCAAGGTGGGAAAGGGCCCGTGGGCTCCCCACCCACCCACGCACCCCCAAAAGGGTTTTTCCCACCCCAGCCAGGCCCCGCAGCGCTCCCCGGGGACGGGCAGCGCAGCGCCATCGCCCTCCTGCCTGCAGCAGGCAGGGGCCCTGGCAGCGGGCGGCAGCGGCGCAGGGCTGGTCCCCGGCAGCGGTGTGGGGTGGCTGAGGCACCCACGGGTGTGGGGCCTGATCCTGGAGCGGGGAGGGAGCACGGGCTTGTGGGAGCGGCCCTCGTGAAGCACCTTTACTGGGGAAAAAAATTTAAAAAAATAAAAAACCCAAAATAAAACCTGAAAACAAACAACTAAAGCTGCTGTGGTGACTGAGCCGTCTCAGGGAGCCGGAGCGCCCCGTTCGCTCGCCCGCCCGGAGCCGCTCCTCGAGGGGAGCAGCAGCAGCAGCAGCAGCAGCGTCGCCCCACGGGGCCGAATCGGTGACAGAGGCGTTTCTCCTCTCTCCTGGGGCAGAAGAAACGCGTGGCTTTCGGTTCCCTCCCAGCAGCACCGCCTTTGGCCTTCTTTTTGTTTCCTTAAGGGTTGTTTTGGGGGTTTAGGGTTTGGGTTTGTTTCTTTTTTTTTTTTAGTTTTGGGCTCTCGGTGAGTGCAGTTCCCCTCCCGGCGGGTCTGGCCCTGGACACGCGCCGCGTCCCCTCGCTCTGTGCCCGCTGCCAGGGTGCGCAGGGCCGTGATGGGCATAAGCACCAACCCCTCCCAAAACCCCAACCGGCCCCACGCGTTGCTGCCTGCGGGGAAACCTGGGGGCTGCCCACCCCTGCCCGCGCCGGCTGGAGGTGCGGTGTCCCTGCCTGCGGGACGGCCTGTCTGCGGGCAGGTGCTTTCCGCCTCGCTGGCCGCAGGAGCCGGGCAGCGCCTCCGCGCTCCCAGCATTGTTTGCGGATCCGATGTTGTTTTCCCTGCTCCGGCTCGCCGGAGGGGCGGACGCCAGGCAGGCAGCCTGCCGTCAGCCGAGGACGGTGCGGCCTCGCCACGCTCCTGCCTGCTCTGTGGGAGGGTGGGAAGGTGCGGGGTTTTTTTAAATCTCCCAGCTGTTCAAAACATCTGGGTCCTTCCGTGCTGGGGGGCTGCAGGTGGAGGTGGGGATGCTCCCGTGCTCTCTCTCTTCCCATGTGTCGAGGCCAGGGTGGCCCGGCCAGGGGTACCGGTGACACAGGCTGCGACGGGAGGAGGGAGAGCCGGGTGGCTCTGATGCAGCCACCGGTGATCCAGCATAATCTCCGCTGCCTCCGAATTTAAGGGGTTGGGGTGGGATAAGGTGGCCTGGAGGTGCTGCTGGGAAGGGACCCATCGAGGGGCTGCTCGGGGCGGCTGTGCCTGTGGGCTGTCATGGCGGGGAGGTAGCAGAGTTTCCCCTTCCCAGCCCCGGGGGGCTGCCGGAGACGAGGCAAGTGCGAGGGGCCTCGCTCCAATCGCACGCTCTTGGCACAAGCGGGGTTGGGATGGACGGCTCGACCTCTTTCCCCCAAGCGAAGGCTGGGGACAGTTTCTTTGCCATGTTTCCAATCATGTTGTCATACTGCCTGGAAATGCTGATGGCAGCATCCCGCTGCCGGGAGGTCAGGTTTGTGAGGCACGTGGCAGTGGGGAGCTCTGGGCTGGTTTCTCCTGGGGATGGCTGAGGTGCCTGGAGGAGCGTCCCCGGGGATGGCTGGGGTGCCTGGAGGAGCATCCCCGGGATGGCTGGGCAGGGAAAGGAGTCACTGTCCTGTCCCCGCAGCCTTCCTCGCCGAGCGCAGCAGGACAGGGGAAACCTTAGCCGTTTCTTTCTGGTTTATAATTTCCCTTCGCGGGTGGATGGGGCAGAGCTGGGCTTTCTCTGGGGATGGCTGCAAGGTGGAGGTGGCAGGGCCAGGGGCAGCTCCCACTCCGGGGCATGCCAGTGAAGCTGGCTCCAGAGCTGGGGGAGAAGGTCCCGGACCACCATGCCCGCGTCCTCCTGCCTCTGCGGCTTCAGCAAAGCTTCCTCAAATGGGGGCTGGCGTCTCTTCCTCCTCACCTTCATCTGCCGGTGCTGCGACCCAGAGGCCTCTGCAATAGATGCCATCTCCCGGGACGCAGCGGCACATGGCACGGTGACATCCTCGTCTTGCCGAGGGCTTGATCCCAGCTGGAGGAAGGGCAGGAGCTGGCTTTGGCGGTGGTGCAGCCGGTGGTTTAGTTTCGGTTGATGCTCCTTAGTTGTCTTTTTTTCCCCCCCGTCTCTATCCAGCGCACGCAGCTTCAGGCAGAAACGCTTCCTCGCCTGTTTGCTGGCAGCATTTCCTGGAGCGTTAGTGAGAGCCAGACTTCTCACCTCTTCTCGAGTAATTTGGTTGCCAAATTTCATCTATTATTATTATTATAAACAAAAAAGGGTTTTCCAAATGGGATGATGGGCGAGAACCTCTTTTTTTAATAACCGTGAAAACCCCAGCCCCGCTGCCGCAGCCAGCGCTTTGCATCAGGAACACCCGGAGAAGCTGTTCAGCAAAGAACGAGTGGTCCTTTCTAGTCCAAGTGACCCATTTGGCCACGGGTGAACTGCCGGCTCCTCGCTGCCTTTGCTCCTCGTGCCGCTCCTCAGGGATGCAGGTGGGAGCACGGATGCCGGTGCTGATACCAGCTGATACCAGCTGCCCCAGCGCTGTGGTGGCACGGGGCCTTCCCAAGGTCCAGAGCTGGGCACAGCAAGGCAGGAGCCATCCTTTATGAAGTCCTCACGGCTCAGCCAGCAGTGGGATCGTCCATCTCTTGGCTTTTAGTTTGCCTGCTTTGCAATCACCGCGCTGGGGAGGGAGCCGTGGCGGGGTCGGGGCGCAGCGGCCTGTCCCCGAGGACCGTCGTCATCCTGACCGCTGCAGCTGGGGCAGCTCTTGGAGCATCGCAGCAGTGCCTGGTGCTGCGCCCGTGGCGCTTGCAAGGGCCTGGCTGCCCTGCCCAGCTTCCCAGGGCTCTGCCGGCGGGCGAGCAGGGGGTGGTCTCTGAGCCCCCCGACATCGCACAGGTCAGCATGCAGAAAGCAAGTATTTCCAGCCCTAGCTTTTTCTTGAGACACAGAGAAGGTCGTCTGCATCCCCCTGGTAGCGGTGGGCAATGGTGGGCAATGGTCCCGCTCAGCGGCGTGCAGCCACCCCATCCCTTCGAGCCCCGCCGCGGCTGCACGTCGGGGTCTCCTCTGCCACGCCGGTGCGGACTGAGCGTTTCCCGCGCGGCAGCTGGGGTGCCGCTGCCCCGGGAGCTGCGTGCTGCTCACACGTTTAATTTTCTGTGCAATTTTATTCTGGGAGATAACGTTCCCCCCCAGGTTCTCTGGGGTTACATTTGCTCGGCTGGCTCCCACCGTGAGAAATGAGCCCTCGTGCGTAGGCAAGGTGTGGGGGGAGCTGGGGACGTGGGGCATGGGGATCCCACTGGGCTCCGCGGGTTGGCACCTGCGCCAGGGACCTGGGCAGGGCTCCGTCCGCAGGCGTGGGGAGGGGGAACGGATGGAAAGATGCCCCCCATCTCCATGATCCCAGTTCCCGACGCGGTCAGCATCAAGGAAGAGTTTGTGGTTTATGGAAGAGACGTGGTGCAAATCCCTCCTCTCCTTTCGCTGCAGCTTGCTGGGGACCCACAAACCCCTGTGTGCCCACCCTGTGGGTGCGGGTGCAGGGAGAGCTGGAGCGCGGGGTGGCGAGACCGCGGTCCCGGAGCCTGGGAGATGCTGCGGTTACGCTGTGCAGGGATCCGCAATTTCCCTGGCAGCTCCGGGCACAGGTTTGGGGTCTGCAGGTGGTCTCGAGGGTCTGGAGCAGGACCCTGGCCGAACCCCAGGGCTGCACTGCCTGGAGGGGGCTCGCTGGGGCTGCCGTGGCCCCGCAGAGCCGCCCCCCTCCCCAGGGACCCCCCGCTCCCCAGGGGCGCCCAGGCCCTTCCCGCAGCATGAAGGGGAAGACGAGTCCAGGATGTTTGCCTGAAACGGCTCTTCTGGGCCACGGGGGTATTAAGGGAGGCAATCGGCTTAGCTCTGCGTACAGTGGGGCGCTGGGGACGGGGGGGTTATGCGGATGCTGGAGACAGGAGGAGTGACAGCGTGATAGGGACACTGGTGACAGGGAGGCTGATGGTGCTGGGGACTAGAGGGGTGATGGGGATGTTGGGGACAGGAGGGGTGACAGGGTCACAGGGGTGCCAGGGACAGGAGGGGTGACAGGGTGGCAGGGGCGATGGGGACAGGGGGGGTCATGGGGTGGCCAGTGTGCTGGGGACAGGAGAGATATGGGGACACTGGGGACAGGAAGGTTGATGGGAGGGGGCTGGGGACAAGAGGGGTGACGGGGATGTGGATAGGAATGGTGATGGGGGTGCCAGGGACAGGAGGGGTCACGGGGTGGCCTCTCCCCAGGCGCAAGGCACTGGGTCCCCGGGCACTGGGGACAGGAGCTGCCATCGGTCTCATCCCTGCATTAATCCCATAAACATGGTGCCCTTGTGCTTCGTCCCCACGGGCGGCTCTGGGTCTGGTCCCCGATGGGTGCAGTGGCTGCCCCCCAAAAGCCCCGGGCACAGCCCCAGCGCTGCTGCCAGTGCCAGGGCATCTCCCTCCCGTGTCTGGGCTTTGCTGACCGCCGCTGCCGCAGGGGTGACCAGAGCACTGAATGGCGGCAGCAGGCCTGTAATTAGCTGCTTCATGAGCTAACGCTAATTGCAACGGGAAGAAACTGGCCGTTAAGTGCCTGGAGTGCGCTTTGAATTGGAGGAAGGAAGCGCAGCCGGAGCAGGTCCCCGTCCCTGCCGCTTCCCATCCCGGAGCACCGCGGTCTGGCAGCTGCCCGCCCTAACCAGTGCACCCAGTGGCGTGTTGCTGGGGTCTCTCCTGCAGGGTTGGAGGGGGGCAAAGCCTTTGCAGGAGGGAGGTTTGCTCTTTGGTGGGGGGAACCCATCGTTTCGTGGGTGACACGAGAGGTGACACGTCAGCTGGCGGGGACCCTGGCTCGCCGTGGCACAGGGGCCCCCCAGGCTCCTGGCCCCTGTTCCCTTCTTGCAGAAAGGAGATGGCGATAGAGGTGGAGGGCAAAAGGTGGGGAAGGCGCCGCGCTCGTGTGCACCTGTAGCACCCATGGGTGGTGCCTGGGCTCGGCCGGGGATCAGCCGAGGAGCGCTCCTGGGGAGCCCGTGGCTCTTGCATGCGGGAGGAGCGGCTTTGCCTCGGGGAGCTCATCGTCTCGCATCTGTCGGGAATTATTTCCCAGCCGCCGGGTAAGCCGGCAGAGAGGGCGGCCCGGTAAGCTGCCGGTAACGTGACCCATCCTGCGGCCATAATTCTTGGCTTCCTGGCTGGAAAGGAGACAGTTTCTCTGAGCCGCAGGGGATAAAGCCCAAAAGAAATCTCTGGGTCCAGCTGTTTTGGCACTGTCTGCAGCCCTTTCCAGGAGCCCCGGGATGCAGCTCTGCATCCCATGGGCCCCCATTTGCTGGGCTCTCTGCCCAGCGGGCACGATGTCCTGCAGGTTTTTATTGCCGGTGGCGGCTGAGTCAGCGTGGGTGCAGCCGCGGGCGCAGCCCGGGCAGGGTGGGGTGATGCGGCCCCTGCTTTTCCGCCTACCTCCTGCCTTGCATGTCCGCCGGACACAGGCTGCCCGGCCGGGGGTCCCCGCTCGTGAGCCGTTGGAAAGCCATAAGGGTCGGCCCCTGTAGCCCCCAGGACCTGCCGATAAGTGGCCGTGTCCCCAAACCCCCATTTCAGGGTGACCAGCTGGTGGGAGCACCGAGGCCAGTGCCGGGCGTGGGTCAGACAGCGGGAGCAGGACGGACAGACTCTCCACGCCAAGCAAAGCCGCCTGTGCTGCTGCTGCTGCTGCCTCCAAGCTGCCCGAGGGTGTTTAATCAGCAAAATCGTGCTGGAGCATCTTTACCAAAGGCTGCAAAATGTCTCCCGGCAGCGTGGGACGGCAGCGAGGTGTGGGAGGGCTTTGGCTTTGCCAAAGAGCATCTGGCCCCGGTGGGTGCAGCAGTGCTTCGCCGGGGAGCTGCCACTCCGGGGTTTTATTTCCAGCCCGGCAGTGGGAGCGTGCAGGAGTGCGCGGCTGCTCGCAGATGGCTGAGCTGTGGCCATCTGAGTGTGGCCGTGCTGGCCCTTGGCCTGGCAGCTCCTTGGGTGCTCGGCTGGGGGACGTGAGCTCGCCCCTCTCGCCTCCCCACCGGCAGCGACGGGTCTGCAGGGGGAGCTCGCCAGTGGCCGTGGCTCTGCTCTGCCACGGCTCAGCGGGCAGGCGGGCGCCCTGGCAAGCCAGGCTCTGTGGGTGCTGCCATGCTGATCGGTCGGTGCCCGGCCAGTGTCAGGAGAGAGCTGGACCCGAGCCCTTCCCTCGAGGCTGCTCGAGGTGGGTACGTGCTCAGAGCAGAGCTGTAAAACCCCCTGCACCGCAGGGCGCAGCCCGCCCCGGTGCAGCCACAGCAGTGGTGCCAGGACTGCCCATCCCCTGTGGTGCCGGCCCAGTGAGGGTCCGGCACTGCGCCGCGCTGTGCATCGGGGTGTCCCAGAGCACCGTGGGGATGCGAGGAGGGAGCCGCCGTGCTGCGCGCCCAGCATTAGCACACCCAGCATTAGCACGCCGTGCTCGCACGGGGCCGGCCCCGCTACCCCGCTCGCGGCAGCGCCCTGCACCGTGGCCCTGACCGCTGGCTGTTTCGCCCGTCGCACCGCGCCAAACCTCAGAGCCCAGCCTGTAAAAAAGGAATTTAAAAAACCCCAACCCCTGCCCTCGCCCCAGCCCCGGTGAGCTCCGGGCAGCTACGAAGCCCATTGGTATTTGCTTGAGCAAAACCTGATAAACAAGACCAACAGTGGGTGGTTCGAGCTGCGAAGAAGAGCGAGGTGCTTTTTGGCATGGGGTGGCATTGGGGACAGCCCTGGGTCCCCGGTACGGGTGGGCGCACACCCAGCCGAGCCAGGGCCGCTGATGCAGAGCCAGCGGCAGGTTTGGGCAGGCAGAACCAGGGAAATGGCACATGGCATCTGGTTTTCCTTTTTCTTTTTTTTTTTTTTTTTTAATTTTTTTTTCTTTTTCTGACTATCTGACCCAAAGCCCTTGGGGC